GGCCGAGGAGAGTTTTAAACACACAACGAAAACTGAGGTAAGCCTTTCTGTCCCAATTAACCTGTGTTCCGTCGCACTGCGCAGGCCGCAGGAGGTTGTGCTCAAGCTGTTGAGGTTTGACTCGCCCTCGAAGCCATAGATGGCCAGGTGTTTCCGATGCTGCAAAACCCCAGCAGCCTGTAGATCCTAAAGCACCAAAGTCGTTCGCGGCCCCACCCTGAACCCCAACACCCTCAGGCCCCCAGCCTCGTTCATCCACTGGGACCCAGAGTAGGCCCTTGTTCCCGCCCCCCAAGGGGGCACTTTGCGTCTTGCTCAGGTCACAAGGAGAGTGACTGGCTCGAAGAAATGGCGACGCAGTCCATGCAAAGATCCATAACTGCAGTTGGGTTGAGGGTTTAGGGTTTCAGGTTTAGGGTTTAGGGTTTAGGGGGTTGTGGCTTATCAGAGGCCGCGGCGTGAGTTTTCGTTCGTCGGCAGGCTTTGCTGCGCATGGAGCACTAAACCCTCCAGGGGGCCCCAAACCCACGGAGTCCAGGACGCCCAATTCTGCCACAGGCTGATAAGGGCTCTTCAGTCAGGTCCTTCGTGTGGGCAGGCTTCTTAGGGTTATGTAGGCCAGGGTTCGAGGGTTTCGGCTGAGCAGTCGGTGCTGCATGGCACGCAAGAATGAAGGTATATGGCATGGGGTACCCCTAGTAAACCACCAAGGTCTTTAACCTCACCATAGGAACCCCCACAAGCTTGCAGCCTTGGACCTTTCTGGCCTCCAAAAGCCATATTCTGGCCTCAACCAGATGAAGTGGTGAGCTACGTTTTTAGGGGGTGCCTTGCTGTACCTCAGCACTGCACCCTGAAAAAGGAGTTGCAATTTGGGGGTCGAGGTACGGTGGCTTTAGCATACCCCTAACCCCTAAACGCTAAACCCTAACCCCCCCCTTTTCTTCAGCCCAGGAGAGGCCACAAATCGCCGCTTGGAGTGCAGTACCATGCAGCATATATGTACACACGCAGGAATCATGTGCACTCGCAACTTCTTCATGCCGGAAATTCCATAGCCATCGCCATAACGTTGCAGAGGCCAGCAAAATCTATATCCAGAACCTCTTGCCCTGTAAACTCTCCACTCCCCCCCCCCCCCCCCCCCCCCCCCCCCCCCCCCCCCCCCACCCGGCACCCTGTAGAAGATATCGACTAATCGACGAGTCCCTTTCTAGAGCATCTTTAATGGGAATGTCTGCAAGTAGGGAGTAGGGGGGATATCTTAACCTGCAAATCCTAAACCCCTGAGCCCCCAGTCCCCTAGTGCTCCAAGCCCCTACACCCACCCAACCCCAAAACACTCCCCTAAACCCTAAGCCCCTAAACCCTTAACTCTAACTAACCCTGAACTCCGAGCCCTGAACCCCTAAACCCCGAATCCCTCGACCAACCCGAGGCAATCAGCCCAAAGAACTGCCAAAGTTCACGAAGGTCGGCTTCCAGGCCGGCGTGCATTTCTTTCGATGTAGAATTCATATTGGGGAGGTGTTGGGGGCTTCAGGGATGTGGGCATTCTGCGTAACTTCCCTAAACCCTAAACCCTAAACCCTTGCTGCTCTGGATTTACATGGCTTTGGGCTTCTGCGACCTTGGGCCCTAAGCCCTCCTGAGGGGGTGTCTTCGGGTTTCAGGCTTCAAGTTCGCATTGCCGGTCCCTATCCCCCTTGGGAACTATCTTTTTAATTTTTGTTTGTACAAAACCCAAGAGGATATTAAGAATATTGTTTATATTCAGGTTCTAAGGGGAGAATAGGAGCTTGCTTGCCCATATGTATTAGGTTGGGCCTGAGGGCTTCGGTTTAGGGTTTGGGGCTCCGGGTTGAGGGGATTTGGCCTATTTCGGGCTCGTGGTGCAGACTTTTCTCCGGTCTCCCCAGTGTGACATGCTTCTAAAGGTACTGTTCTTGGAACCCTGCAAAGCAGCTTTCCCTAAATCCCTAAACCCTAAACCCCAAAAGGCCCTAAACCAGACCGCCCCTAAACCCGGGCCCCTGAAGCTCACACTGCAAGACTTCCGTACTCTTCGCCTGCAGGTGGCCACCATTCCGGAAACTCTCCGGCGCCGGTTGCAGGACTGTCGTGGACGAAGGAAGAAGACACAACCCCAAGCCCTAAACCCTAAATCCTAAACCCTAAACCCTAAACCCTAAACCCTAAACCCTAAACCCTAAACCCTGTTCAGGTTTAGGGCTCGGGGCATGTAGGGGGTGGGGGTTTAGGCTCAGTGGGTGGGACGCAGGGCTTGGGGGCAACGAAGCCTCATAAGGCTGAGAATGCTAGTGTGTTACATGGGAGCATTCGGCGTAGATGTCTTGGGCATCAATTTCAGGCCGACTTATAGGCTACACAGATTGGAAGGGGATGAGGCACGTGGTGTTTAGCTATCTTGGGGCAGAACTTATGAAGACTTTGAGCTGACCTCGGATAAGTCCGGACGGCACTCATCCGATCGTGGCCCTAAGGTTGTATCCCTGAAGGGTTCCCCCCCAAATCATCTACCAAAATGGGAGTTTCAACTGAGGATTCCCTTCATCCCCTCCCCCCCAAAAACAAAGAAAAAGAAAGGAAACATACTACACTGCACAGTGGTGAGTCAAAGAGACTGCCCCGAGGTTTAGGTCATGGTTTCTTTTCGGAGTTTTGGGTTGTAGCTTTGATGCTCTTTGCTGCCGTCGTGTGTGTTCAGGGCGAGCAGTCAACTGAAAAGTCCGCGGAAGGACTTCCACGTTAACAACCGCCTTGAGTGAACCGGCTGCAAGGAGGAAGCGTCACAGAGATACAAGGGTTTAGGGTTTAGGGTTTAGGGTTTGTGTTTCCGGACCCCGAATCCGAAAAAAAAGACCCTATATACACCCTACACTTGGGACGTTCCCTATTCTACTAACAGTCCGCAATGGGATGATCATATGATCATGGGGGGTACTGTGATCACTACTAAGGACTCTTAGCATAAGGGAGGACCTCCCAACCCCACACCCTAAGCCCTACGTGCTGAAGCTCTCCAATGTGTTGGCGGGCCCCTGAATTTGCAAACCCGATGCGGGAGCCAACTCCTAGTCGCATCCTGAAATTGGAAATGCATACCTAAGCTCCTGAAGTGTTTAAGGCCCAAGTTTTTTTGGATGAACTCACTTCCCTAAACCTCGACCCGAAACTGCTAAACTAAGGCTCTGGCCGAAAGAAGCTCTTAAAGCCCAAACTCGAAACGGTAGACAAAAAAAACAAACCTTAGATGCAAAGCCCAAGCCTTAAGCCCTGACCCTGCCTAACCTCTGTGTATGTGCATATACATATATGTATCAACATATATATTTATACATACTTTTTGTGCATGTTAGTTGTTTATTGATATATGTATTCACATATATATATATATATATGTATATATATATATAATACATGACACACACACATGGTACACATGTGTGTGTGTGTGTATACATATATGTATATGTGTGTGTGTGTGTGTGTGCGTGTGTGTGTGTGTGTGTGTGTGTTTGTTTGTTTGTGTGCGTTTATTCATTTTGCACATTTATTTATTTATACGCACTCGCACACACTCATATGCTTGTATTAGCAGAAGGGCCGAAGGATACCTTACACAGTGTAGTACCTCCAGACTGAGCTAGACCCAAATAATTGGGCCCTTCAGGGCTTCTCTGGACCCCTTATCAGTATGCCTCCATCAGCCCCCTAAACCCCAAACCCCAAACCCTAAACCTCAAACAATAAACCCCAAACCCCAAACCCTAAACCCTAAACCCTAAACCCTAAACCCTAAACCCTAGCCCTAAACACTAAACCCTGACCCTAACCCGAACTCAGCAACATCGCCCCAAGGTCGGTCCCTGAGGACCACGGGGTCTTCGACCCCAACCTCTCGGGTCGCCAGAGCGCCACGCACGCCGCATTGCAGATAGCGTTTAGGGTCTAGGGTTTAGGGTTTAGGGTTCAGAGTTTAGGGTTTAGGGCTAGGGTTTAGGGTTAAGGAAGGGTTCAGGATTTAGGGTTTAGGGTTAGCGCTTAGGGGTTTTCTAAGGGTAGTTTCACCTCCCTTATAGGGTTCTGATGTAAAGGCCCTTGGGTGGTACAGGGTACATGAGGGGTATGTATATAAGGGGTCCCCTTCTAAGGGCACATATTGAAGGACCATGGAACTACCCCTAAAGCTGTCGGGCTGTGGGGGGGGGGGGGTCTCGGGTTTTGGCGTTTAGGGTTAGGGTTTCGGGAAGCACCGGGACATGAAAAGGCAGAAGCGAATCTCCAGTGGGGATAAAGGGCTTACGGTTTGGAGGCCAGAGGTATTTTCCAGCTGGTACCCTTATTCCAACAAACAAGGGCTCCTTTTCATTATTGGATTTCTCTTATCTCCAAAACCCTAACCCTGAAAACCCGAGAAACCCCCTGAACACTAAGCACCCCCCCAAACCCCATCAATAGCTCCACCAGAAGTCGACCCTCAACCCTCAAGTTTAGGGTTTGGGGTTCACGCCTAGGTTTGATGTCTTAGGGTGGCTTAAAAGGGCTCAAAGGTTAGCGTTCGCTGGGTCGCGTGAGGGGTAATTGCTTCAGGGTTTCAGTGTCTGGCAGGCCCCAAAGCCCCTAAACAAGAACCGTACATGAACCCCGGCTCTGGAGGCCTTTGCAGGCTGAGCGGTTGGGATTGCAGAGTTCCGGGTTTGGGGGTTTTAGGGTTTGGGCGTAGATTGCCGGCGTTTGCAGATTTAGGATCGCATTTTGCAAGGCCTTCGGAGAGATGGCTTGCGTGTCCATCACCAAACGGCCGTAGACTCCGAAACCATCTACCTAATAATGCTAAGTCCCATGCCCTCCGAACCCTGATTCTTCTGCCATGATTGTTTGAACCCTATGATCTCTAAACTCTGAAACCTAACCCTAAACTCTAAACGGGTGCTCCGCGCCTTCAGGATACATGGCTGAGTCAAGTGCCGCCTCGCATGAGGCACCTTGGCAAGCTTGATGTAGTCAGTTTCCTTGCCTCATCTACGCAAAAGGGGTTTTAGGGTTTAGGGTTTAGGGTCTAGGCTAGGCCTCTTGAGTAAGATCTTTCTCTCTCATTAGGAGTATCTGTTAGACATGTACTGCAGACCCCTTGACACAGCACAGGCTACAGTGATCTTACGTGGGTGCTTGTTTAGGAACTTAAATTACGTTGCCACAATAAGAGTCGTATCCTTTTTGAGAACGATTATGGTAAGGCCCTAAACCCTTCCCCCCCCCCCCCCAGTCTCGAAGAAACCCGAGACTCCAAGACCCGCAAGCATCTGGTTCAGGGTCCAAGGTTTAGGGAACCCTAAACCCTGAACCCTGAACCCTGAACCCTGAACCCTAAACCCCTTCGGTCACTCGTGGGTCAACCAGCCTTAGGCGAGTGCTGTCCACAACCCTGCGCCCGATTCTGGCGGACTGGGCCGGCTTTGACGACGAGGCCCCCGCTGGCTTAAGGTACTGGAGTTTAGGGTTTGTAGGGTTTAGGGTTCGAAGTGCAAGGGTTTGGGATTTAGGGTTTAGGGTTTAGGGTTTAGAGTCTAGGGTTTAGGGTTTAGGGCCGTTTAGGGTTTAGGGTTTAGGGGCCCAAAACCAAACACTGTCTAGTTTCCTGGGGCCACCCCTCCCCTCGATGTAAGTCAATTTGCAGCCTATGAACGTACTTTGAGATACATATTATGGATGGTGTTTACGTTATCTTCATTTTGATGGTATATCATGTTTTTTCTTTGTCAATTTCTTCATCTTGCAAGAGCTTGTTTTATGCTTCGCATTTGTTTAATCCAAATACTTGGTTTTCTGGAAATGGTATTTACCTCTTCTTAGTGGGAACAGCATTTATGGATTTATGGCTTATGTTTTACCTTTAGGACAAATGAGTTTATGAGGAGTTACAGAAACTTCAAGTTCATAATCTCCATTTCCATCTTTGATAGAATGGCTTGGTGGACGAAACTATATTTACAATCCAACATTAAAGAGGCTCTTTGTCTTGCATGCTCTATTTCCGTCTTGTCATATCTTAATCTACATTCTGTATGTTCTAAAAATCCTGTACGAATCCACTTGTAATAAATAGCATTTTCTTTTACTAGTAAGTTTTTCTATGGAAAGATATTTATTCTCTATCTAAGCAGCGAACGTGGTGACAAACATTGTTTTTGTCAGTCGTTTTACGCACTCATTGCACGTGTAAGCTTACCAGGTGAACCGCGAAGACCACATGATTGGTGCACCACAGTTGGTTCGCGGACTTGGAAACAAAGGTGCCACGAAGGAACTTACTTAGAACGATAGGAAATGAAATTAGAACTCGCGACTTGGTTCTATCTGGACACAAAACTCTCGTTGATGTCCGTTCTTTGATTCGGGAGTTCAGGGCCCAAATCTTGGCGGTTCATTTGTTCACTCATTACGTTCGCTTTCTCACCTCCTCGCACCATCTAAACATACGTGAATTCCCAAATTATGGGAAGCTGATTGTCTTCTTGTCTGGCCCGGTCGGAATAGTTACTCATAGTAGTCCCTTATGGTCCCTTTATATTCAGACTACAACAACCTTCTAATTAGCAAGGCCCCTATATTACGTTTGCTGGTAGGCCTCTTTCAGCTTCTGGAGCCCTCGATCAGCAGCTGCTTCCAAGTTCTACCCAACAGTGGGATCGGTTGTCTTGTCTATCTTGCAATCCACAAAGAACCGCTGCCTAACCACCCCGTAAATTGTAAACCCTAAACCCTAAACCCTAAACCCTAACCCCGCCGAGCCACTTCCGGGGCAGGAGTTGATCCTCACGGCCATTTATGGCGTGCAGCTTAGGGAAGCTCAAGGGGAGGGGGGGGGGGCTTATCATTGGGTTATAAAGACACTTTATCTTGGGCTATACCCATGAACCTCCAAGCAGCCCTGAAAGGCTTTCGGGTTTGAGGTGTGTAGGGGGCGGGTTTTCGGGCTTGCAGGGTTTTTGAGGGTCGAAGGTCCACTTGAAGGTTCACCTCGGGCTCGAGTTGCGAGCAGCGACTTGTGGACAGTTTCCTACCTTCCTTCTACGGCTTCCTTCGGAACTGTTGTAAGTTTGTAGAATGTCCAAGTGAGCATCTCATGTGACTTTTGAAGGTTCTGAGGGGAGAAGGGCCTTCATGGACTCTTAACGTACTACAAGCTTCATTGTGGGAACCCCGCAGTAGGTAGCCCAAGTGTGTTTGAATGTTCCCAAAATTAGGCGCCTATGCCTGTCTTGGGGTCTTATTAAAAGAAGGGCTATAGTTTTGGGAGCGGCGCAGCCCAGTCCTGTCTTGAGGGATGCATCTTGTAAGCTATACATTTTTACAGGCAGACGTATACCCAAAGCCTGCCGTAAAGCTCAGGTATGCTTCATCAAGCCCTTGAAAGCCCTAAACCCTAAACCCTAGAAGCCTAGAACCCTAAACCCTAAACCCTAAACCCTAAAACCCTTAACCCCTTCCAGCCTTCAGTGACTGACGTCTTGGGCCCCTCTCCTTGCACACCCTACAGACCCTGAATATTTTTGGGAGCAGCTTCAGGTATGGTTTAGGGTTTAGGGTTTAGTGTTTCGGGATTTACAGGGTTCGCCCGTCGGATTATTTAGTGCAGCTGCTAGGGCGCAGACAGCACCGCTGAGGTTTATCCGGAACCACTTTCGCAGTTCTATGGGCCCTTTCGAACCCATGTAAATTTGACTTCATAGGATCCCCCAAACCCACCCGGCACCAGAGCAGCAGAGTCTGAGGAATTCGGCTGTATCACAACGGCTCCATCCTGTGACTGGGCTGCGCTGTCAGGGTTTAGAGTTTAAGGTCGAGGGTTGAGGGTGAGGGTTCATGAGGTTTGGGGCCCTAGGGTTTGGGGCCTTATAGGAGTTGAGCCAACCCTTTTTGTATCGTACCCCAAAACTCCCAGCCCTACACCCTGAGTTATTATGGTGGGCAACTTCCCCGTTGTTGCCTTTTGCATACCCCTTCAGCTTACCCTTAATATGGTTCTGTGCACCCCAAGTACTTACAAGGCTCCATGTTGTAACAGGAGCCCCAAGAGGGACCGCAATTTGCCTAGGGTTTAGGGGTTCTGTTGGATGGTTTGAAAGGCACGATCCTCATTGAGCCTAATAAAGATTGCGCAGTCCTCTCGACAACCCTCAACTCAACCAGACTTTAGCCCACCTTACCACGTCTCCCAAAAGAGTCTCCTATGACCCCATGGCCCTTGTATCCGATAGCCCTATAACCCTAGAACCCCTTTGAAATTGTCAGAGGCGTCGTACTGTGACAATTTGGGTTCTGAGCAGGTTGATACTTGTGCGCATTGAGAGAAGCCCAAGCCCTCAACCCTACCTAGAGGTTCATGGGTACTTACAACGTAGAGTTCTAAGTAGGGTAGGGATAGTTGTAATTTGTTGTATCCCTTCTTAGGGAAACCCTCCACCCTAAACCCTAAATCCTAAGCCCCAAACCCCAAAGCAAGCCCGCCTTGGAACCCTACAACCCTAACAACCTACAACCCTAAACCCTAAACCCTAAACCCTAAACCCTACTGTCCGCCACTTCCTTGCAAGGCACATGCATGTCGACCGGAAGGCCCCTCCCAAGCTGGGTTGTGGGTTTAGGGCTGGGGTTTAGGGTTTAGGGTTTAGGGTTTAGGGTTTAGGGGTTAGGGGTTAGGGGTTAGGGGTTTTGGGTTTTTGGGTTTTAGGGTTTTAGGGTTTTAGGGTTTTAGGGTTTTTGGGTTTTTGGGTTTTTGGGTTTTTGGGTTTTTGGGTTTTTGGGTTTGGGGGTTTTTGGGTTTTAGGGTTTTAGGGTTTTAGGGTTTTAGGGTTTTAGGGTTTTAGGGTTTTGGGTTCAGTTGTCACAACCCAACAAGGGGTGTTTGGGGTTTATTCTCACGTGTCCTGGTTGACTGCTGTCAGGGGTTTGGGGTCGAGGCCAAGCATCAAAACCAAACCGTTAAACCAGAGGGCTTAGGGTTTAGGGTTTGCTGAACCCTTAGCCCGAAATCACAACTTACGAAATCCTTAGCCTTAAGCCCTAAACACCAAACCCAGCCCATTTGGATTGGCAAGGAACCCCTGTCGGCAAGAAGTAGACAAGCCACAAATACGCAGGCTTCGGGTCCCGGAGACCTCTCAAACTCTTGGGTTTACCCAAAGGCTCCAATGTAGTTCCTTTTTTGGGTTGGTTATAGGGGAGTCTAGTATACTACCCCAAAAAGGTGCTACATAGGAGCCTTTGGGTAGGGTTTAGAGGGTTTAGGGTTTAGAGTTTAGGGTTTAGGGCCTAGGGTCTAGGGTCGAGGGTCGAGGGTTTGTGTTCAGGGCGACCCTCAAAGCCGCAAATTCCATATTCATAAATTCCGCATTTAGTCCCCAAGCTCCTCAGGAGACGCACGTGATATCTGCAATCCTGGAGGTGGGCCACCTCCTTCTGCAGGTGGGGGGGGGGGGGGGGATTGGCCGTCTGCCCGAACCTTCTACACGATGGCTAGACTGTGATGCGCATTCAGTTTTTGCGGTGGAATCTGTCGCTCGGCTGCTCCGTCAAAGCGCGCATAGACAGTTGCCAGAGTTAGTTGATGCAGTACTGTGTGGTGCTTGAAGGGAAAGCGCAAACATTGGCCGAGAGCTGGCAGGGGAGTGTTTAGGGCGTTTAGGGTTCAGGGAGTAGGCTTGTTTTGGTCGGAAGGACTTGCATAACTTAACCCACAAAGGAAACCTTCACTAGCAAAGCCTCGCAACTGTTCGTTTTTACATGATACAGACAAATGTTTACCAGATAATTATGGACATGCATATATATATATATACATTTATACTTCTATTTCATTCCTTTGTTTTCATGAGGAGGGTCCAAAACATCCCGAGACCAGCTCCCTAAACGGCGAGATGTTCAGGACCAGAGGTTTCCGCCAAGAAGCTTCAACTTTCAAGGCAGGATCCAAGCAGAAGTACAGGCAATTCTACATTCCCATTCAAGACCCCAGAGAACTAAATACCCCGTTCATAAGGATAGCTCCTTTCATCGTAACAGGGTTTCTGATCTAAGGAATGTTCCTTACTTCCGGCCCCCTGTGAAGGACCAAAGTCCCGAGTCGTCGTGGCCACTACGGATCTACGATCACTCGGGCTGCTCGGACTTTGGCTCGTGATCCCTAATCCCTAAACCCTAAACCCTAAACCCTAAGCCCCAAAAACCCTAGGGTTGCGTCACCTAGGTGAACCCTGACCTTCCCACCCCCCAACCCATGCGACCTGCAAAGAAAGGTATACCTCTGTACGTACATACTTTTATGTCATAAGCCCCCGGGACCCTCCTAGATCACTCGCAAGAAGTAGATCAAAATAAAACATGCACAACATGGAAGACTATTCACTGCACCCCCGGAGACCCATCCCACGGGGCCTTGCGCCGAGGACGGGAGCACGTGATCCCGAACAAGCCTGGTCAGACGCTGGCTTCTGTTAAGGCTTTACGAAGGTTACCCTCCAGGGTTGCTGAATTTTGAAGATGGTTAAGGCTTTTAAGGGGGGCAGATCTCAACCATGATTGCTGAGAAGAAGATTCCTTATTAGTGAAGGGGTATTGGAGTCTTTTGGTTTTTCAATCGAATGCAATGCCCCAAGTCCCTAGGCATCAAAAGGTTCTAAGCCAGGACTCTCCAACTCTAATCCGAAGCCGCAAGCCAACAACTTCTCCCGGGACGTTCTGTTGCCCACGGCTTCATGGCCTGCAAACCCTAAACCCTGAACCTTAAACCCTAAACCCTAAGCACTGACTAAGCAAAAGGGAACACCTGCGGGCAAGCCTTTCTCGCATTGCACAAGGAGTCCTGTGAAGTCCACCGCCTCATCCCGGTAATGCTTAAGAAGCCTGTGGGGCCTGATATATTGCCGAAAGAACTATGATCTTCAGATTTTGCGGGGGCTTGGTTTTAAAGTCACTGCTGTACTGGAGGAATTGTTTGGAGATCCTATGGATTGATAAGGGAAGCAAGCGGGGACAATTGTCCATGGTGGCTCTGTTTCAACATGTTCTTTCGATCGCCTGCCAGATCCCCCATGAGCCATGAGGGCAGGGTTTAGGGCTTTTGGGGATTTTTGGGTTTTAGGGTTTAGCCCCTAAACCCTAAACCCTACACCCCAAACCCTAAATCCTAAACCCTAAACCCTAAACCCCAAACCCAAAGTCCTTTGAAGCGGACGAGGATGATCCTCTACGAGTCGTCGACCTGCCCCCACGGCCGGCCTGATCCGTTTGTGGGCCGAGCATCTCTGCAGCAGAACTTGAGACCCAACACCCTAAACCCTAAACCCTAAACCGCAAACCCCAAACCCTAAGGGGCTGAAAGGGGTCCATGGGCTGTAGGGCTTAGGATCTCTTTTGAGGGGTTTTTGGTCGGGTCTGAGAGTTTCGGGTTTCTGGAGCTGCCACCAAGCCCTCCTGAAGCCCCTAAGAGTATCCTGTAGCGCCCTTCATGTTTGGACCCCCTATGGCTTAGGTAGGGTTTAGGGTTTAGGGTTTAGGGCTTAGGGTTTAGGGGTTAGGGGTTTGGGGTTTGGGGTTTGGGGGTTAGGCGTTTAGGGGTTTGGGGTTTGACGTTTGGCAAATGTTGGGGAATACATGAGCTTCATGGGAATCCTAGGGTTTGGCGTTTTTTCGAAGCAGTGCTTGGATCGTGAGTTTAGGGTTCCGGGTGCCTAGCAGCTCAGGAAATGGCGAACGTCTTTGTGCCTTCGCGACGAGCAGGGGCTGTGGGTTTAGGCGTTTGGAATCTCAGAAATCCTAACCCTAAGCCCTAAGTCCGTAATCCACCCCTAAACCCTGTGCAGAAAATATACCGTAATATTGTGTCCATATATATATATATATACTGAAGTACGCAAAAAAACACATGGCGCCGTGCGGTCCCGTGTACGGCCCTAAACCCTGAACACGAAAGCCCCAAAACCCGGCATAAACCCCAGAAGGTCCCTTATCAGGGTCCATCCTAAACCTAGACAAGCCCCAAAAAACTAAAACCCAAATCCATAAAATCTAAACCCTAAAGCCTAAAGCCTAAACATGAATCTTGTTGGCCCGGAAGTTCCATGTTGGTGCTTTTTGTCGGTGGGGAATCTTGAGTGCCTGCAGAGCTTACCAGGGCTTGTTGGTGCGTATGAGGGCTCGTGATGATTTAGGGTTTAGGGGTCTATGGCTGGGTTTCTCGGTTTAGGCTTTGGATTAGGATCCCTAGTATAGCAACATGAGGAACTTAACTGAGGGGAAGGTGCCACTATCAGGGCGAACAGACGCAGGTTTAGAAGTTCAGAGATTCAGTGTTTGCAGGATTGAGGCTCTCGAGTTTGGCTGCTGCAGTAGGGTTTGGGTTTGGGGCTTTAGGTTTGGGAGTGGTCGGGTTCGGGCGTTTAAGGCTTGTAGGGAACATCGGGTTCAGGGTTTTGGGCGCCGTGAACAAAGCAACTTCCTCTGCCAAACGCTTGGAGATCTCCGACTGATGGGGTCTAAACCCTACGCACAGCCTCTACACAAAAAACTAGCCCTCAGCCCCAAACCTTGCACCCCCGAATCCTACCTGGACCCCCCAAAGTACGTGACAAAGTTCGCCTCCCCCCCCCTTCCAAAAAAAAGTCAACGAAACGTAAACGGGCCATTTATTGTAAGATAGTTTAGGTAACACTAAACCCTTTAAACCCTAAACCCCAAACCCCAAGCCCCAAACCCCAAACCCCAAACCCCAAACCCCGAAACCCCAAAACCCCAAAACCCCAAAACCCCAAAACCCCAAAGCCCCAAAACCCTAACCCTCAAAACGTCCTAAGCCCTTGAACCGCGCCCCCCCCCAAACCCTAAACCCTAAACCCTAAACCCCAAACCCTAAACCCTAAACCCTAAACCCTAAACCCTCTTTCAAAGTAGCCCACGAGGTGCACTTCAAGCCGCGAGGTTGGCCCCAAGTCCAGGGCCGAACGTCGCAGGAGGGCACCGGCTGGTTGGGGTTTGGGGGTTTGGGGGTTTGGGGGGTTTAGGGTTTAGGGTTATTGGGTTTAGGTTTTAGGGGTTTAGGGGTTTAGGGGTTTATAGGGTGTAGGGTGTAGGGGGGTTTAGGGGGGTTTAGGGGGGTTTGGGGGTGTAGGAGTTTAGGGTTTATAGGGGTTTCGGGGTGGGGGGGGGTTTGGGGGTTTGGGGTTTAGGGGTTTAGGGGTTTGGGGTTTAGGGTTAAGGGTTTAGGGCGGCGGAAGTCGTCTTCTTATGAACAAAGGAGTCGAGACGGTATCCTTTTGTTGGACAGCCCATGGGATATGTGTGTGTGTGTGTTTTTCCTGATTGTGTTGAAAAAGTATCATGTTTCAGGAACAGTCTTCAACATGTTTCAGAGGCTAGTTTCGTGGTTTCTTGGTTTGTGGATAGGTTCTGTGCTTTTTGATCCGCGTTCAACCTTTTCAGTGCTCAGGGGATTGGAGTCAAGTTGGTAAGTTGTTTCTTGCCAGCCATTTCTTCCCTAAGGAGCTGGACAAACAACGCGTCGTCTTGTTTCGGGCTTTGTGTTTTGCTTGCTGACCGTCTTGTGGGTGTTGTGTCTTTAGGGTTTCATGGCTTTAGAGGTTTAGAGCTGGTCCATCCAAATAGCTACTTTAAACTATTTGGGGGAGCGGGGGGAACCTGTGTTTTTTTTTTGCTCGGCCAGCTCTTTTCCTTTTCCTTCTTTTTGCTCGGCCAGCCGCGTCCCGAGCAAAAGAAAACGCGCCCGTGGCCAGCGCCAGCCGCGTCCCGAGCAAAAAAAAAAACGCGCCCGTGGCCAGCTCTTTTCCTTTTCCTTCTTTTTGCTCGGCCAGCCGCGTCCCGAGCAAAAAAAAAAAGGCGCCCGGAGTGTTTTTTTTTTGCTCGGCCAGCCACGTCCCGAACAAAAAAAAAACGCACCCCTGAAGGAAGGCCCACACGACCCCCGGCCCGCAAGTGAGTGAGTGACCGGGCGCGTCCCGAGCAAAAAAAAGCGCGCCCGGAGTGTTTTTTTTGCTCGGCCAGCCGCGTGCCGAACAAAAAAAACGCGCCCCTGAAGGAAGGCCCACACGACCCCCGGCCCGCAAGTGAGTGAGTGACCGGGCGCGTCCCGAGCAAAAAAAACGCGCCCGGAGTTTTTTTTTGCTCGGCCAGCCGCGTCCCGAACAACAAAAACGCGCCCCTAATCCCCCCAGCTTCGTTTAAGCCGCGCAAAGCGTGCTTCAAAGCCTAAGAAACTTGTTGAAACCCATCATGTGAGCATTGTGTTTGCAAATGCGGGGGGCTGCGCCCCCCCCGCCCAACCCCCCCGCTTCGTTTAAGCCGTGCAAAGCGTGCTTCCAAGCCTAAGAAACTTGTTGAAACCCATCATGTGAGCATTGTGTTTGCAAATGGGGGGGTGGGGGGGCTGCCCCCCCCCCCCCCCCCCCCCAACCCCCGCCGCTTCGTTGAAGCCGTGCAAAGCGTGCTTCCAAAACTAAGAAACTTTTTGAAACACATCATGTGAGCATTGTGTTTGCAAATGGGGGGTGGCTGCGCCCCCCAACCCCTCCGCTTTCAAAAAAAGGCATGAATACGAGATCCTACGAGAAGTATTATGAAAATATAGAGGGAATGTAGCTTTTTCCTCGGAAAATCAAAAAACAAACCAACGAAAAACATTAATAAGAAATCCTACGAAAAGCAGTATGAATGCTCTGAAATATAGAGGGATTGTAGCATTTTCCTAAGAAAAACCAAGAAAACGAAGCGAAAAGAAAGAATTAATAGGAAATCAGTCATAGGAAGATGTGGACAATGTAGCTTTTTCCTGGGAAAACCAAGAAAACGACCCCCCCCCCCCCGGCGTGCCGCCAAAAAAAAAGACCCCCCCCCAAAAAAAAAAAAAAAAAGATTCCACCCCTTAAAAAAGATGCGCCCCGGCCGCCCCCGAGTGTTTTTTTTTGCTGGGCCAGCCGCGTCCCGAACAAAAAAAAAAACGCCCCCCGGCCGCCCCCGAGTGTTTTATTTTTTGCTGGGCCAGCCGCGTCCCGAACAAAAAAAACGCGCCCCGACCGCCCCGAGTGTTTTTCTTTTTGCTGGGCCAGCCGCGTGCCGAACAAAAAAGAAAGCGCGCCCCGGCCGCCCCGAGTTTTTTTTGCTGGGCCAGCCGCGTCCCGAAAAAAAAAGAAAAAAAAACCCGCCCCGGCCGCCCCCGAGTGTTTTTTTTTGCTGGGCCAGCCGCGTCCCGAACAAAACAAAAAACGCGCCCCGGCTGCCCCCGAGTGTTTTTTTTGCTGGGTCAGCCGCGACGTGCAATCTGCGCAAACTTGCAACATGTTTGTGTATGATGTGCCTGGTGCTTGCGTGCTTGTTCATCCTGTGTACCTTGAACCTTTTGCACCAGCTCAGGCTGCTGGCTGCTGGAGCAGCTTGTGGCTTCATGTTTGTCTGTGAGCCCTGGCATGGAAGAGTGCACGTGAAGAAGGAGAAGGGGAAGGCCAAGGCCATGGCCAAGGCCAAGGCCATGGCCAAGGATCCGGCCAAGGCTCCGGCTCTGGGCCTCCCCAAGCACATTCCTGAACCAAAGCCGTTGACGCTCGGCAAATGTATGGCCGCAATGCAGCGTTGTTGTTGAACCACTTGCCGAGCATTGCATCCACCCATCTCTCATTCTTCTGACTTCAGGACTGCAGCTGCCTCCCCGCCGGAATTCGTAGCGGATATTGTGTAAGTTGCCGCGTCCATGGCCTGCGCAGTAGCAACTCCGTCAGCTTTGCGAGAGAAAGCCCAGTCACCCGAACTACTGTCGAGACTCTGCTCCAGAAATACGTGAAACAGTTTCTGCGATGGTCTGCCACGAATGGCTCTGCAAAGCGTCGCACTTGGCCAGCGAAGTGCAGGCCCATGACTGAGGAAACGGACACGCAATCACAAAAGGGACAGGTTCGGCAAGGTGTTGCCATGTCCCAACATTGTCCCAAATTTACTTTGGCTACTAGCTGAGAATCTGTCAACTGAAGCCTCTATGGTCCTCGATGGGGTATCTTAACGGTATCTTAGAAAGTCTGCCCCAGAAGCGCTGGGGCAGGGCCCAGTAGACATGGCGGGGTACGGTGTGGTGTCCGATTGTATCCAAGGCAGCAGAAAACATTCTGTGCGATTCTTTGCGGGGTTTCCGGGTTGCCTTGGGGGGCGCTGTCGAGGCTTTCTGCAGGGGAAGGGGCCCTCCACTGCATCTGTTCTCTTTGGTGCTCCGGTCTGTCGCTGCTGAGTTTGACCGTTCGTGAACTCAAGGATCGTTCTCGCCTTGGTGGCCAAGTTTGTGTCCCTTTGCTCACCACAATCCGTCGCCCACCCATGGCCAAAGGGAGGGCGCCCGGGCTGGACATAGGGCTATAAGGACATGAATGGGCACGAGAAAGCCAAACACAAGGAAGCAGCCCCGTCTTTGTGCGAACAACCTTTGGATCTTTGCAGATTGAGCTTGTTGATGTCCAAGGCGACATGCTTCTTAGGATTTCTGAAGCTTTACATGCTGGCACCATGTGTTCTGCAATTGCAGCGGCTGAGATCAAGGGTCCTGCTTGCAGGGTCGTTGTTTTGTTGTTTTCTGGATAGGAACTCGGTAGCCCAGGCCCATGGGGATCACCAACAGACTAGACGATCCTACTAGGCTAGATGGCCTGAAAGACTTTCCACAAGATTCGACACGGTCGCAGAATCAAACAGAAAGAGTCCCGACCGAAGCGGATCTGACCAGCCGCGTCCCGAAAAAAAAATCGCGCCCCGGCAGCCCCGAGTGTTTTTCTTTTTGCTGGGCCAGCCGCGTGCCGAACAAAAAAAGCAACGCGCCCGGAGTGTTTTTTTTTGCTCGGCCAGCCGCGTGAGTTACAAAAAGGCGTGCTGAGCAAAAAGCGTACGGAACAAAAACAAAAACACTCTTACCGGAGCGGGGGGGCGTTGTCTGTGTCTTCGGCAGGGTTTAGGGATTGGGGCCTCCTCTGCTGCCAGGAGTGCGACAGCGCCCGCGACGGCGGTGAAGGGTCTTGCAGCGAGGTCTAGCGCCGGAAAAAGAGCAGTTGAGAGCATGGGAGAGAGTTTGGGGGTCGATGGCCCCTATAGCCTCCTGCTTTGAGGGGATGCGGTTTGTGGGTGTGGGTTGAGGGGTTAGAAGGCTTCGGTGGCGTAGTTTAGGGGCTTGTGAGTAGGAATGGGGCTCAGTGCTTGAGAAGTAAGTGTGGTGTCATTGTTTAGGGATTCAGGCATAGGGCCTTGTTTATGCGACTGGCAGTTACGGGCTGAGGGCTTGAAGCACTATAGCAGTCGCAGACTATAAGGTTGCAGCTAGGGCAGCTAGGGGGGAATCATATCTCGGTTTAGGGCGAAGGGCCTTGAGGTGGAGGGAAATTCGCCAGAGCATCCAGAGCTTTGGCTCAGCAGGCCAGATCCGCAGCTGCGGCTTGCTAGAACGCACCACCGAGAGTGGTTGTGTCCTGCCAGATCATGGCCAATCGTAGGGTTCTCTGCGCACTGTGTGTGCCTGGGCCAGCAAGTGCAGGGTCGAGGTTTAGGGCTTGCAGGGCTTGGAGGGCCTGTACGGGGATTGAGGGGCTTATACAATATGTGTATGTATGTATGTATGTATGTATGTATGTATGTATGTATGTATGTATGTATGTATGTATGTATGTATGTATGTATGTATGTATGTATGTATGTATGTACATATATATATATATATAGCGGGCTCTCAGATCTTATTCGGGCTCTGAGGGTTTAGGGTACGAATCCCAGCAGCAGCAGAAGTGACCCATATTTCAGAAGGAAGGACAAAACTATATAATACCGCCAGCAGCAGCAGCAGCAGCAGTAGCAGCAGTAGCAGCACCCTCCACGCCCCGGCCAAGATCGAATTTCCCAGGTCAACCCCAAAATTGAACCCAAAACTACCCAAATAAAAGGTTTCAACCGGAGTTTTTACGGTGGAGCCGACGGCCTAAACCCTTAACCCCGCTGCCCAAACCGCTGTGCAGACTTTTGGCCACGATGTGCCAGGGCTAGATACCATAGGGGCCTGAACAATTGGAATTGGGTTTTGGGGGTTATTGGCGGGGGCGGCGCGGTTTAGGTTCCAGGCCTTTTTGGGGGGCCATCGGGATTTACTTTGAAGGCTCTCTGTCTGATATGCTTCGAGGGGTCTACGCAAGAGCAGCTCACAGACTGGCTCAGTAACCCTAAATCTAAACCCTAGACCCTATACACCTTAGAAAAGCCATCCCTAAACCCCTATTCTGGGGCTCATTGGTGGCCCCCGCTCTGTGATATGTAATTTATAGCCAACAGTAACAATACTGACGACCAACCTGCGGCGAAGGGAAATGCGCGGTCAGCAGCTAAGTAGAGCACGGCGCTACTAACAGCGCAGGCCTAACCTCAAAAACATTCCCTAAGCCCTGACCTGGGGGGCTTAACGTTTTGCGGGGGCTTCGACTACCCCGAAAAGGGAACCCGAATACAGGGACGATCAGATATGGCCCCAAGCCCCCCTACAGCGATTCAGGTGCTGGCGGCGGTTGCAGACTATTGCCCTCCTCCATCCCCCGAGACGTGGATGGAGGAGATGTGGCCCTGGCTGCTCGCATGGTCCTAAAGCGCATCGTTGGAACTCGAAGCCTTATAAGCCCGAAGCGTAAACCCTAAACCCCTATGCAGCTTCGGGTCAGGATGCTTCCGCAACACTTGTGGCTGTTGGGCTGTAGAGGGTTCAGGGGTGCAGCTGGAATCTGGCAACCAGGTTCTGGTAGCACTTAAGCAATCCTCTAGGTATAGCGCGTAGAACGGCGATAGTTGTAGGTAAAAGCCTCTGAGCGAGTTGAAGGCACTGGCACCTTGTCCTCGAAGCACTACAGGGCTCATAGGCAAGAGGAGTGTGAATTCAGCAATTCGGTCTGGCGTCCAGGGCCACGTGCGCCACTGAGGATCAGAGACCGACGCATCGTTGGCCGCCTGTCCGCAAGAAGCTTCTTGCGTAGGCTCCCTGCCCCTTGAAGGAACCTTCTTAAAGCTTCATGGGTTGTTATAAGAAGGGTTACAAGTGGATTACCTTCTAAACCCTTGTGTAATTATAATCCATGAAGTGCGATTCAGGGGTATCCTTGGCAAGGGCCAGGGGTGTTCGGGGACTTGCAGCGGCCAAGCTGCAACACATTGAAATCCTCAAGATTGCCATTTCTGGTGCAATTTGTGCCACGCGCATGCGTGCACTCGTCTAAAGCCTCAATCTTCACATCCCTAAGCAGCCCTAAGCACGGAGGCCCGCTGTTCAGGTGACAGTTTGTCTCCATATCCCCCTCATGTTAACCAACGCAGCCCCTTAGCGCTACCCCTTGTAGAAGTCTTATATATGGTGGTTGTCAAAACTATGATCCCTTTTGGGGTACCCTAAATATTAGGTGCCGTATTACACTAGGGATCCAAAAGGGGCCATAGTTTTGACAACCACCCATATGGAAACTCCACAGGTTTGATGCTGCCTGGCAGCCACAACTCGGGCGCGGTGAAGTCGATGAGCATCCGGTGGTATTCAGATAAAGTTCAGGGATCAGGGTTTAGGGGCTGTTTTTTTGGTGCTTAAATCGGGCTTAGGGAGTAGGGTTGGAGGTTCAGGGTCTGGTGTTTGGGTTTGCGACTTCAGAATTTCGGGTTCCAGCACGACTTTAATTTCGGAGTTTTGGCTGCCCCGAACCCTAACTTTTCTGCTGTCCATGCTCCTTTCAAAGGCTTTGCAACGCCCAAACTTCAAACCCTACTGCAAACCCCAAACCCGAAACTCCGAACCTCAAGTCGCTTTTACCTATATACATCATGAACCTTAAACCCTTGGTGGGCATAGGCACAACGGTTCGGGTGCATGGGCACGCCGGTTCGCGGGCATAGGCACGCCGGTTGTGGGCAGAGGCACGCCGGTTCAGGGCCTGGTCAGGCGGGGTCCCAAGAAGCGTCCCAGGAAAGGTTGTGGCGGGCGGTCCCAGAATGCCAGTGGGAGCAGCCCTGTCATTGTGTTGGGCTTGTGAGGATACTAGGGTTCAGGGCCTACTGGGTTTTGAGCGCTAGAGTTTAGGGCCTATCGGGAATGGATAGCGTGAAGCTTACTGTAGACTTTCTGAATACCATGGGATTGTTTGGGTTGGCCCGTCGCTAGAAAAGCTGCATGACTAGTGAAGGCTAGAACATGAGATGCTGAACCCGAAACCCTAAACCCCAACCTCCAATCCGCAAACCGTATGAACACAAGCCCAGCTTGCTTTCGCAAAATCAAGGAGCCATGTAGGACGATGCCGCCTGTCCGAAAGGTTTGATTGCTGCTAGAAATGTGATTTGAGGTCCAGCAGTTCTGGGTTGCAGAGTTTGAGACTTTCGGGTTTAAGGTTCAAGGGGTTGAGGGGGTATAAGTCCAAAGGCGTATCAGCTCATTTCAACGACTGGTAGCCCCATCAGAAGATGATGTAGGCTCCCTTACAAGCCTAGGCCTAGAAGTTGGATTTAGATAATTAGGGTTTAGGGTAAGTGTGGGCCTGAGTGCTACGCGGTTGACCCGCCAGACTTTCATTGACTTCACTGTACCGCAACCCCACTTGCAGTGACAGGCACATGCGTTGTTGCGTGTGCCTGTGGCAAACTCCTGAGAGGTTCCCGGAAGGGGAAAGCGGTTGTAGGTGTAGGGTCCTTGGCAGCAACATCAACGAGAGCCATGGTGTTCAGGGCTGATGCTTTTGTTTTGTCGTGGTTCCATTCCCAATCCCAAGCCCTGAGCTGCATGCAGGGCATTGATAGCGAGGGGACGAGGTGGCAGTACTCAGAGGCTGACCCACCCCTGTTCCAAACCATAGCCTCTGAGCCCTAGACTGAAGCCGGTCTTGTCTCCGCCCATGGACTGAACTGATGTGAACGTGACAGCTTCACTGCTGAGGTAATGCCATATATGGCAAGTTCAAGAGCGACATCAAGGACAGTAGAGCTACGCCACATTCAGGTTTGTTGTTCTGAGGGCATCGGGTTCAGGGTTCAAGGTTTCAAACGGTGGTTTCGCAATGTTTCTCAGATCGCACGCCGCAAAAGAGGAAGCTTTCTTGTGGTAGGGGGTGAAACACGGCAACCACGAACGATCCTGACCGCACGTGGAACTTGCATGGACAAAAGTTGTATAATGCCCATTCACGCAGTATATTTTTTTACTGTATACACATAGTACGTTCGCGTAAGCAAAGATGCAGAAGCTCTCTCTCTCTCTCTTACATTTTTGTAGACAAGTCCACATTACATATGCAGAAGTTACAAACGATGCTCGACGCAATCTCCTCCAGCGCCCTGGACCCTCAGCCACCTAGCAAGAGCAAGGAACGTGATACTTGAATCCAGAAGCCCTGCAACCTTTAACTTACCTAAACCCTAAACCTGGAAACTTGAGCCCATAAACCCTAAACCCGGAACCCTAAACCCTGAACCCCCTAAGCCCCATACCCCCCAAAAAACCTGAACCCTTAAAAAACACTAAACTCCCTAAACTCTGAACACTGAACCCTAAACCCTGAACTCCCTAAACCCTAGAACCCTTCAGCGTCAACAGCTTGAATGTCGAGGCAGCTGTGGGTACCTTCCTCGAGGGCATCGTCACCGACAACATGTTACTCGCACTTCCCTATCTTCTGTCGGGTTGCAGGGTGTTTGGGGGTCGGGGTTGTAGCCTTAAATTGGGGGGGGGGGGGTTTTATAGCTGATCGGGATTTTCAGGGTTTGCTAGTTCCTTAGTGGGCTTTATGGAAACTAGGTACCCTGGAGAAGTCCCTGCAAGGGTTAGAGTAGAGGGTGCATAGTAGCTGATTCCCGAACCATGCTTCTGGAGGGAGATCGGTCTTGCTTCCTTGCCGTCGTCTCGAAATCCGTGTGAGAATGTGAGGATCTAAGCACGAAGCACCGCTAGACCCTGCATCGGCATGCTCACCATAAGAGAATCCTATTCCCTTACATAACCCCTACACATTCCTTATGTAGGCCCTACATGC